TATTTTCCTTTTAGCATGGAATGAATCTTTACCTGTTGCTTTGCAGCCTACGCATGCTGACGCAGCTCCCTACTGGAACGTCTTCATCTGACTGGGGCCAGCACGTGCTCCACGTTTGAGGGCAGGGTTAGAAATAATGAATCAAAGTTGAACAAAAGGATTTATGTCAGGCTGCCTCTACAGTTCATCATGCATTCTGAATAACGGAGCAACATGCACCTGCTAACCTGATTAGATCACAGTCTAGGTCCTGTGTGTTCTTCTTTTGTCAAAACCCAGATGTCTTTGGGTTTAAAAGCGACTCTGGACACCCTAGGCTTGCAATTGCGAGTCATCTAGTGTTGTAAATTTTCAGAATCTCCGAATTCCAGGTACAGACAGAATCCAGCAAACGCAGGGCGTTTTTCGCTCTTCGGTTCCTGTCAAATTCGTCCCACACCAGTTCGATTGCCAAGAGATCTGAAGGGACAGCTAGGAGCTAGGGGACACAGTTTGGAAGATGTTCTTTTGGTAGATATCTTTGATGGTATGTTTTGCACAATAATTGCACAGTACACTATCTTGTCCTGCCTATGATTTGTGATCAATCAAGGTAGACACAGTGCAAAGCCTTCTTCAGGTATCACATCTGACAAACAAAATGCTATGTCTCTTTTCTTTTCAGCATGGAAAAAACCTTTACCTGTTCCTTTGCAGCCTGTGCATGCTGACACAGCTACAGTAGTTACTTGAGCTTCTACAAAAAGTATACTGCCACTCTGGAGAAGAGCAGTCAGATACAGTATATTTCTGGGCTTACGGGACAGTGCTACTCTCGCAGACACAGAGATCTGCACAGTGACAGGAGACCGTGAAATGAGAAGACTTACTAGTGAAAAAGACAAACATGGGGCAAAGGGCTCAGGACGTCTGTTGAATCAACAGTGAAACAAGCCCCAGTGGACACAAGTGAAACCAGAGGTTTTGAACCAAGGACAGGAGGCTCTTCTTCATGCAAGGGATTGTAACGGGAATAGGATTGAAGTCCGACAAAACAGCTTTGTTACAAAGGTGATGCTCTTGGTTTGTTTAAACAAACCGTTGGATGAGGTCTTCAGACCCGTTAGCTATTAACAATCAAATAAAATAGACTGGCTCATTGGCAGTCCTCACCCTAACTGAACCCTAACCTTAACCATAATGC